AGGTGCCGGTAGCTATCCTGGACCGGAAGGTCCATCAGCTGAGGAACCGGGCAGCGAGCTTGGTGAAGGTATTGTGGAGCCGACACGATGAGACCGAGGCGACTTGGGAGAGGGAGGACGATATTAGGAGGCGTTATCCGAACTTTGAGTTTTGAGTTCTCCTTTGTATTTTTTTTATATTGCTTTCTAGTTTCGTTTTCGAATTCCGAGGTCGGAATTCTTTGTAAGGTGGGTAGACTGTAACGCCCTGTTCGTTCATGAATAAATAGATTATTATTTTTATTATTATTATTATTATTATTATTATTATTATTATTATTATTATTATTATTATTATTATTATTGTTGTTATTAATTGTTGCTTTATATTAAATTGTCCAATTGCCTAAGTGGATCTATGTGCCTATTGTGTATTTTAAAATAAATATTAATTGTAGAGATTTTATATAATTATTAAATACTATTTTAAAATTAATTTAAATTAATCGTCAAACTGGGCTTCGGGTCGAGCCGAGCCGCGCCCGTGACCCGCGCCCGTGGAGCCGGCCGCCCCTTCCCTCTTCTTTCCTTGTGATTTTTGGTAAGTGGCTTAATTGTGGAGTCTTTCCCTTTTTCCTTTGGTGTTGATTTATGGCAAGTGCTTGATTAGGGGATCTCCTCTAAACCCTAAGTGAGCTTTATAAATAGGGGAGATTAATCCCTTCCTTCGTCATATTCTTTTTCCCCAGCAGCCACCTTTCTCTCATCTCTCATCCCTCTCGATCTCTCTCCCTCTTTCTTTTTTCTTCGTCCTCCATCATCGCCGCGAACAATGCCCTCCGCCGCCGTTGCACCACCGTGCGGTCACCCTTCACCGCGTGCACCATCGCAGCCCCGGGCCATCGCCATCACCACCACCTCTGTTCGTGAGTCGCGGATCGCACACCCGACGTCGTCCAGCGTCCCTCGCGAAGCCTGCAAGCACGCCCAGCGGCCCGTAGCAGAACCGCAGCGGCACGCGCAGGCCTCCCAGCGGCCAGCAGTCGCACGCGGACGCGCCCAGAAGCACCGCAGGCCCTTCCCCGTGCACTCGCATCCCCTCCTCGCCCCGTTCGAACCCTCTTTCATGCAAATCTCCCCGAGAACGGTACAAGGCTGTCTAAACCCCCTTAATTTATGTGTGTATGTGTTATATATTAAGTCTTGTGGAGAATTGCATGCTAGGGTTTGAATATTGGCCATTTAATTTCATGTCTTGTTCGTTATTTATGTTCGTATGTGATTTATGCATAAATCGTGAATAAGGCTGTGGATTATTGGAACATTTGAAGTCTTTGGCCTCATGGAGAAGGCTTTAGACGTTGATGTTGAACAATTGGTCTCTTATGCATTTTTGAATCGAGTAGTGCTACTGAATAATCGAAAAATCTTAAAAATATGTATACTCGTTCGATTGCTGTGAAAATTGAACTGTATTACTTTCTGATTGTATTATGTGTGGTGTAAAAATTTCAAGTCGAAATGAGGTCTGTAGCTATGTCAAATGTTGATTTGAAGTTCTGGGCAGAAACTTTGAAAAATCATTAAAAATCGAATTCTTGGTATTTTGCTGTGATTTTTGGTGAGTGTTAGTAATCTGATGTTATGTTTGTTGTGTCCAAGTTTCGTCAAAAAATTCAAAGGATTTCCTGGTGAACTAGAAAGTTCAGATTGTCATCGTCTTTTTGTAAAAATTGGTTGATTGTGTTAAACTGAAGAGTTGGGTCTGAAACCTTGTGAATATGTGCCTTTCTGGGTCTATTTTAATGTGTAAAAATTTCAAGTAAATCGGTCGAGTGCA